GCCTATTCCAAAAAAAAAGTGATGTCTATTTCATCTGTCACTTGTCTCATAATCTATTTATAAAATGTTTCTCCAAGTTCATTTAAGGTTACTCAGTACGTTTTACTTCAAGTTTGTTGTTGTTGTAAACGTAAACCTATACCCTCCAGACTTCAAGGTGCCATCATATGTGACCACAAAATTGTCTGATTGTTTAATAAATGTTTTCAATTTTTCAAATCCTGTTTCTGGTTTTATATCACAACCTAATATATATACTGTCACTGTATGTGGTAGTTTGGTTATAACAGTAATGAGATCATGTAACACTGAACAAGACATTGTTATATAATACAAGCCAACATGTTCAATATTGATCATTTGAGGTGACAGTGTTAATGATCTTTCACCTAGATTTATTCTCACCAACTCAACATATTTCACATGATTTAACAATGATAATATTTGTAACATTGTTTCTATGTCACTGGAAGATTCTAGATAACTACACTGAAATGTTTGTAGTTTACTGGCTGCTGGTAGTTGACTGAGATAAGATGACACAACACCTGGTTTATATAATTCACCTACACTACATTCCTCCAACAACAATACATTCATGTTTAATAGTGACACAGGTATCAGGGTCAATCGTAAACATCTTAGTTGTGAATGTTGAGACAGGTCAAGGTTGAATCCCCTACATGAAGTATTCTTGTGATCACTACAGTCTAACCTGTGTACTGATATTTCTTTCATTGATTTTTTACTAGTGAGGAAATTTAACAATATCTCCATTACCTCATGGGTCATAGTGAAACAGTCTATACGTAAACTCTCCAGGTGTTGTAATTTTACCAGTCTTCCATTTATCTCTGCAGACAACTGGCAACGTCTTCCTACAAATACATTATTTTCCCATTTACTTGATATCACAGTTAAACATTTTAAAGGGTTCAATAACAAGCACATTATTTCCTCTTCTACAATTTCACCTTGATAGTATAATTTCTCTACATGTGGAAGGTCAGAGAGTGTAAACAAATTGATAATTTTTTGTACATCACAAATACCTTGATTACCTATCATTATTGATTTTATGTTTTCTTTATTTTGTTGACACAAATGTTGTAATTGTTTGAAGTAGTTTTTTTGTTGACATTTTTCATAAATGATGAAATCTTGTAAACACAATTTGAGGTGTTTCATTTCCCGACTTTCTTTGACACAGGAAATGTACATGTCTTGTATGTCTTGTAATGGCTTAATGTACTTGTAATCATAACCTGTCAAAGTTCTGTATTTGCTTGTTCTTTCATCATTGTTTATCACAGGCATCAAAACACTTGATATTGTAGACAATAATTTAGGATTAATGCCACTAATAAAGACAAAGACTTTTGACATGTCTAGAATATTTTGTAAACAGTTGCACTCTTCAAAAATGATTTTCTGAACTTCATTTGTATTTTGAAAACTTATAAATATTGCTGAAAAGTATTCTTGCACTGTTTTATGTGAATATGATATTTTAGAACTTTCATTTATTAATGTTTTCACTTTACTTTCTGATAATATTCCTGAAAGACAGCTTAATTTCAAATCTTCTTGGTTAAGATATTTTCCAGCAACATTTTCATCAAAAACTAATGTGTGCTCCTTTTTCTCACTGAACAATGTATAAAAAGCTAGTTTCCCAATGGTCACCAGAAACGTGTAGTTACTACGGAAATGTTTATGTTTTCTGAAACATTCAGGGACATTACTAGGGGATGTTTCACATGATGAATGAAACTTTCCATGTAACTTTTCTGTTCTAAATAGAAGAAGCTGAATAATGCCTGTATATAATTCTACTGCAGAATTCCCCATTGGAATTTTTTCAATCCATACACATATAAGATAGAGTAACAAGAGAGGGGTTGATTCCACATCTTCAAGGTTATGGTCTCTAATGTCCTCTTCAAATCTACATACTTTATTTACCAGTTTATCATCTTCGATGTTGACATTCCATATTTTCATTACATTGAGCTTAAACTTCCTGGCACTTGCTTTGGTGAATTTAACTAGCTCTACTGTCCTGTCTATTGGACATATCCTCATGTTTGACACATCAACTTTCCATGGCCGAGTTGTTGTTAAGATTACACATTTGTCACGTGCATACCGATGTGGAATACTTTTAGGAAGTCTTGAACAATCGTTGTCCATTGAATGAGTCCATCTAATATAACAAGACATTTTTCTTTGGCCAAGATGTCTATCAAAAAACCTTTCGGCATTGTAGATGAGCAGCGAAGATTTTGTCCTATTTGTTGTTCGATCATATCGTCAATATTACAGACTTTAGTTGAATCTCTTAAAAACACAAGGAATACAAAATCAAAGTCAGATAAGACCTTTAACTCGTTTCCATTAAAACAGTCGTAGTATTTATCTCTATGATGAGCTTGACACCACGTTATGGTAAGGTATTTTGAAAATGCAGTTTTTCCAAAGCCAGCATCAGCGGCTAGATATATTTCTTTCAGATTATTCCTTCCAGATGAAAGTAGGTCTTGTAAAGACGTAACTTTAGTTTTTTCCTTCTGTCCGCCTGGTAAGTTTACTATAATGTTTATGTCTGGCATAACATAAAATCCAGCGAGGTGGGTATTGAAACCATCTGTGAGTGGTGAAAGAGGAACTGTTCTTTGAAAGGTCTTGTACCATGTGATAAGTTCACCTTTAAATTTTGAAATAAAGATAAAACACAAGCTATTAGATATTGATAACTTTAAATTCTAACGCTACTGAAAACAATATTAAAATAGCCATGTGTTTCTTTTTTGCGCATAATGATTTTAAAATACTTTCTTTTTCCATAGACATAAAACAAACACTAAATCGTCAATGAAAACGACTAAGATTTAACGCAAAATTATTCCCTAGAAAGTTCATTTCTATAACTCAGTAAAAACCGAGCCGTAACCGTCTGCATATGTTTCTAACAAAAAAAGCAGAAAATCTTCTTTGACAAGCAATATGTCATAAATATAAAAACATTATTTAACATACTTATTGTCTTACAAAATCTTACCGATTAATTTACAATTCTCCTTTTTGAAGTACTTTATGTATTAAAAATTAAGCAAAATTGATTATAATTTTTACTTTTGAAGCAACAGTTACTAATTTGAAATCACCAAGTGCCTGTAACAAACATTCAAATCTATAAATAGTACAACTCAATTTATGGAAGATTGTTACCGCATGATATTTTTTTTTCATTCGATGAAGGTGTACACTAGCAGAATGGTATCATGTTCATATATTTTCACAGTTTTTACCCTATATTTACAATATAATGGTCTTTCATTGTTAATAACTATAGGATATTAAGCCAATATATGTATTTCGCAAGTTTATTATTATAACAATATAAATATCTAGTTACTTAAAGGCACATTATGCCTCAGAAATGAATAAATTTTTACTTCTTTATAAATAGCTAACATGATTTTTATAATGTGTAATAATAATATCTGTCATATTTTGCGGTTCGGATCGGAATATCCGTCCCGAGGTGACCGCCAATTGGGTGGTAACGAGGCTTGCCGAGTTACCGCCCATGGGCGGTTGACCGAGGGACGGGCATTCCGATCCGAACCGCAAACATATGTCAGATGTTTTTTCTTGCATATTCTACCATATTCGATTAAATTTTAAATTTTATTCTAAGCTCTTGGCGTCGTTATTTTACACAATAAATCTCAGATGTGTTTTCCTATCTATATAAAGTTTCTCCTGGGACGGGGTCAATATTGAATCAAGGGACATGATTCACATCAGTTCTGTAAAGGTTGATACGGCCATGCTACATGCTAATATCTAAGCTCTAGACATTATAACTTTACACAATGAAACTTACACGTGTTTCCCTACGTATGTATAGATAAATCAAGTAATTTTCGGGAAAAGATGAAGTCTAAAGGTATAATTACATAGTTAATATTTCTGCTGAAACATTTTAATTTCTTTTTATCGGTTCAAAAGATACAGAGCGGACGCAAAATTGATACAACATGACTAAATGTGACCCTGATTTTGACCAAAACGTCAAACAGGAGCTCTGCAAATATTCTCAAAATGGTTAACAATTCTGATTAAAAAGAAGAGACAGACGGACGGAAAAAGTCAAGCTTAAAATTTTTATCCACTCTAAATAAATTCAGCTACTTTATAAAGTAGCTACCCATTATGGAATCTATCTTCTATCAGCAGATTGCCGACTTTTCGTGATCTTTCAAACAGCCAATCGCTGGCGACCTTTCACAATTTTGAAATCGATACGGTTTCAAATTTTAACCACTGAAAAACTAATACTAAGAAAGAAATTTTCACGATTTCGAGAACAAACATGGCTTTGTCCATATAGCCGTCAGGTAAACTGACAAAAAAGCGTGTCCATTAAAAATTGAGCCTATTTTTCTAGTTTGTTTGTTTCAAATTACTTCAAACAAATATCAATTGTTTTTTTTTTACTTCCACGGACAACGTTATTTTGAAACTTGTCTAATGCCTATCTGTGAAGGACTGTTTAATTGCATAGATGACAAAAAAAAAAACTTTCTCAGGACATCTGAATCACAATGAAGGCATAATTTGTACGGGGGCAATCTGATCAAGAAATTAGTACATCTAAATTTGAGTCCGTTTTAATGTATAGCACACATTTGGATCTAAATGTTTGACATTGACCTTTAAGCAACGAGACTGATTCTTGTGCGCGACACATATTATCATAAACCTCAACACTTTTCTGCAAAGAAATTTTCAAATCCATTTAGGAATGACAAAATTGTTGTTCGAAAACGAACGTCAGTGCATTTACCATTACAAATTTCCTTTAAAGTCAATGTGCGACCTTGACCTTTCGAGCAACAGACCAAGATATTGTGTGCAATACATTGCCTCATTAAGAAAAAACATTAAAATTGAATTATTTGAAATCAAACAATAAATGACAAAGTTATTGACTGGACACAAAGTTGGAATGGAAGGAAGGATGGAAGGACAGACGCTTAGTGTGTATATCAAAGGTAAAATAAGACTCCTGTACTTACTTTCTTTATTTTCAATGTACTGTTTCTCCTTGTCGTCCGCAATCCTTGTATAGAGTGTTTTTTCTAGAGTCTCTACAAAATTGGCTTAATCAATTTTCCCTTTATCTCCTTCATCTTTGATAGTTCCAACTGCTTTTTTACATTCTTCTGTTATTATCTTGCTTTGTGTTTTTACCTTTTCCTCAATGTCTTCTTTCTTTTGATGCATTATTTGGACTGAGTTTTCTGTAGCCTTTTCTATGTCTTTTATGCTTTTGTCAGTTTCGGTTTCAATTGTTTTTAAAGAATCATCAGTTTTAGTTTCTATCAGTTGCAATCCTGCATGAGTTTTTGAGTCCAAAGAACGAAGATCTTCTTGTTTTCTTTTAATCATTTCTTCTTTGATAATCTCAGATTGTCTTTTTTGGTCATCTTTTTCTACTATTATAGTGTCCCGAGTTGTTTTTGCAACATCATCTAGTACTTTCCTTACATCATCTTTTCCAATGATCAGGATGTCATTTTCTAACTATAATAAAACAAGTAATATTAAAATAAACATATGTCCCATTCCTTAATCTTTAATTAATAGTAAAATAAGTTTTCATTATGAAAGTCACGAAGAACCCGATTATGTAATGGTAAATGTTTATGAATAAGGCATAACAAAAACGTTGTTAGTTTCCGGTGTTCCGACCGACCCTATTTTTGGCCGCCGGCCCTAAACATATTTAGCCAAAACAAGCCGCATTTTTTTTTTGACTCAGAGAGCAGGTTTTTAGACAATTAGGGCGAAGAAGTTCCGAGTTTGCTTAGAAATCCGAAAACAAAGTCACCCTCATTTAAAATTAAATACCTGCGATAATTTCCCAAATGTAAAATTCATCCACGCTCCAGCTATTCAAACACAGTCCATATTTTATGTTTAAATATGTTTAAACGTATTTGCACTTGTCGGTAAAACTGGAAAACCAATGAAACGCGGTGACGCAATTAAGCGGATGTTGAAAGTTAACGTGCGACATCTTGATGTTGATAAAAAGAGTTAAATGCCGATTGAAAAATAAAAGACAATTAAAAATATATTAGTGGCGATAGGACAAATTAGGCTTTGCGCATAAATTTGTCGGTAAGTCTAGTTATCATGTTGTATATGTTGTTTCCAAAAGTGTGTCGCAAAAAATTTTGTTACATGTTTTGATGTTTACATTTTTTAATGTCAAATGCCAAAATAGCAAAGAAAATAATTAGTAAATAAGTTTTTGTGCCCCACTTAGTGGCGGGCATTTAGATTTACCCTTGTCTGTCCGTCCGCCCGTCCGTCCGCACTCACAGGACAGTAATTATGTGGCTAGAGGGACAATAGGTAACTGTTCTTTCTCTTTGATGTCATTCATTCTGTAATGCTTTTATGTGGCTATTTTCTTTTGTGTGGCTAAAAAGAACAATAGAGAGAACAATAGAGTAGCCACATAATTACTCTCCTTTTAAAACGTCCGTCCTTCCGTCCGTCCGTCCGTTCACTTTTGTGTCGCACGTAACTCAAAAAGTATTTGACCTTGAGTCATGAAACTTTACAGGAATGTTGATCAGCATGTGTACTTGTGCACCTGGGTATTTTCGTCTGGATATTTTTAGTATTTTCAGAGTTATTGCCCTTGACATAGTAAAATTTTGCAATTTTCAACTTGTGTCGCACGTAACTCAAAAAGTATTTGACCTAGAGTCATGAAACTTTACAGGAATGTTGATCAGCATGTGTTGTTGTGCATCAGGTATTTTCGTCTGGATTTATTTAGTATTTTTAGAGTTATTGCCCTTGACTTAGAAACTTTTTGCAATTTTCAACTTGTGTCGCAAGTTACTCAAAAAGGATTTGACATAGAGTCATTAAACCTTATGGGCAGGTTGCTCAGCATATTAAGATTTGCACCGGGGGTTTCGCTTGTAGATTTATCCAGTATGTGTAGAGTTATTTCCGTTGACTTAGTAAAAAGATTGACAGAACAGTGGCGCGGTGGGGGCACCCGTGTCCTATGGACACATTTCTAGTTTAACCTTAAAGTGGTTGTAGTTTGATATTATATGGAGACAATTATTTTTTCTATACAACTGTGTTATAGTTGAAAATAAATCAACGTCAACCTAATTAAGTTATCAACCAGGATTCCGTACACAAACTAGTACTAGTAACTTTTTTTAGAAAACATTAAAGTGATGAATTAGTTAATAGGATTTCAATTATTCCAGTAATTTTTTTTATTTCAGTACGTCGTCACCTCGATCACAAGTTTCACTATCTATGATAAAGATGATAGAGAAGAATAATGAGACTACCTGTAAGCATTTGGTTCATTCACAATATTTGTATTTTGCAGTTTATTGTTATAGCTTTTCATACTTATACGTACTTAATTATGCTTTATCAAAAAAATTGTAGATTATTATGGTCAGACTTGGAGGGTTTTACACAACCAGCCAGTTGGCTCTTATAGTTTGCAGAGCATAGGCCTTTAAGAATGGGGGCCTGTGTTTATTACCTACAAATTGTTCACTTATGAACTTGTCAAACAGTCACTTTTAAGAATTTCAATGGTTCCATCTTACCACATTATTGCAGCCATCGTCTGATATTAAGGAACATCAGTTTATGATGTTTTTAATGCCGAACCCTTCAAGGATTTTTTTTTGAAAATGACTCCTCTCATTTACTAAATACTTGGTACATTGTACTGCAATATGAACCCATGTTTAAAAATAAAAGCAACAATATTCAAATATTAGCAATATACTTGAATTGATTACATACCTTTGTCTATACGAGGATTGATCAAAAAGTTATCGGCCCGATGTACTAACGGTAGTCAGAGAACCCAACTAATGGTCTTACTTTTCCATATAATCGCCCTCTACATGCGCTTTACCCACCTGTGCTCAAACTTGTTTTACCCTTCAAAATGGAACTCTCTTATTTGGTCCTCAAAGAACTCATTGACCGCCTCCATGTCACCTTCATTGCTTCCAAAATGTCTACCACGAAACTTGGTTTTCAGTTCCGGAAAAGGGTAGATGTCAGAGTCCGGACAATATGGGGGATTGGAGAGAATTTCAAAGCCGCAATCATTTGCAGCAGCCGTCGCAACTTAGGATGTGTGAGCTGTCGCATTGTCGTGCAGGATCATCTAACGCATCGAGTCAGTTTTCCCCTCCTTTTACTCGCGATTTCTTGACACAGACTTCTCAATGCGTCTGCATAGGACGTAACGTTTTTCGACCTTGCTCAAGATAGTCAATCATGATTGTCCCTTGGCTATCCCAAAATATGGAAGCCATCATCTTCCCTGCTGATGGCACCCTCTTGAATTTCGTCGGAAGGGGTTAACCAGGGTACTTCCACTGCATGCTCTGGTTTTTAGATTCTGAATCGAAGTGATGGACCCATGATTCATCCTTAGTTACGATCCGGTGGATAAATCAGGTTCATCCTCATAGCGACACAAAAGATATCTTTAAATGTCAAGCCTTGTCCGTTTCTGGTTGTCAGTCAACTGTCTGGGGACCCACCTAGCGGATACCTTTGACATGCCATAGACATTAGTCAGAATTGCCTGAACTGAACTAAAGCGTATACCAACTTCCCTAGCAATATTTCGCAGGTCTTGCCTTCTGTCGCACATGCACATGTTAAGCAGGTTTATCGTTGATGGCCTATTTTGGCCGCCCAGGCCGCTCATCATCTCCAATGCTCTCCCTCTTAAATTCAGCAGCCCATTTTTTCACAGTGCTATAGGAAGGAAACTCCTTCCCAAGTGTATCCATAAAACCTTCAAGGATTTCCTTGGAGGACATCCCTTTCTTTCAGAAGTACTTAATGACGGATCTGAATTCAACTTTGTTCATTTGGTCTAAGTGACACACCCCTCTACTGATCAAAGTGTCTTTTATGCTACTTAATCTGTGTAAAACCGCGTGTAACTCGGTCAGTAATCTTCAATAAGATATTGGTATCGTCGTATTGAGTGTAAATGTTAGTATAGTGGCTAGATGTATATCGGGCAGAGAACTTTTTGATCATACCTGGTATATCACATTATAATGATTATAATGGTACTTGGATGTTTGTCCCTAATATTTTAATGGGATGTATATTAACATATATTGGTCGGGGAAAAAAAGATTTTTTGAAAGATTTGCCTACCTACCTACCTTATTTTTTTACCTTTTTTTATTAATAATTTGACAAAATATTCCTTATGACAAAACCGACATTTTTAGTTAGTCTGATACAACCGTTTGTGAAATTTACTTTATTTGCCATATGTTTGTTTCGGCTCCCCGACTAGGTTTTGGACACAGAAAAGAATACTTTTTGAAATGTCAAAGTCATGTCTCTGACCAAGTTCAAAGTGTGAAAATGTACAAAAGGCAATAACTCCAAAATTAAGCAAGGCAGAGTTAAGGTCTTTTTGCGCTGCACTCCTATTTAATGAGATCAATCTACCCATAAAACTCTTATAGTTTCATAGCTATGTTTCGGACAAGGTTCAAAATTTAAAAAAAATTGCCATGGCAATAACTCAAAAATAAGACAATAAGGCAATTATTCCAAAACAAATTACGCAAGGCAGAGTTACGGTTCTTGTATACTGCACATCTACGCAATGAGATCTATTTTCTTCAAAGGTTTCATGTTGATGCCTCTTGTTGTTTTAAAGTTATGTCCCGGACTAGAATAGCGAACGGACGGTCGGACGTTCGGGGAGCTTAAAAATCCATAATCAAATACTAACAATAGCAAATTTGACATTTACAGTCAATGTCATAATAAAAATAAAGGTCATATTTGAAACACTTAATACTAGTATTTCAGTTTTTCTATTAGTGTTCTTGTTCCCAAGTATAAATCAAAGTCGTAAATTATTTTTAAAAAGGCTAATTGTTGCAAAATACACTAATTTGACATTTAGTATCAAATTAAATTATAGGTTAGTGTCAATTTCAATGAAATCTTATATGCCTTGACCCACGGTTTTTTGTACCAAAGTTTTAATACAATAGCTTATTAATAAAACTTACCAAGCCAATTATAGCAATTGAATTGGAAATACAATATTTGGTCTTCATTTGTAACTGTCATTTACATGTCAATGTCATGTTGGGTTTAATTTATTTTAAAACATTCTCCTTAAGGTAGATGCGCTCAAGTATTTATAAATATCAAAGTATTACCAATAATTAAAAAAATCAAGCAAAATACAATAGTTTGATATTCAAGATCAATGCCATTGATAAGAAAATGTCAAAATTAATTCAATTTTTTAAAGGTCTTATCCCAAGGATCGTTGTGTCTAAATGTGAAAACAATGCATTTATAAATGATAACTTTATAGCAAATAATAGAAACAAAAACAAGCAAAATTCTACATTTTGACCTTCAAAGTCAAGGTCATAAATGTATGAAGGTTATCATCAATTTGGTCTTCATAAAGGTCTTATCAACATTTCTATTACTACTTATACTATGATCAGCATTAAAGTTTTCGAACGGAAAACACAACGGCAACAAAAACACGACTGTAGCAATAATGGCTTTTTTTCTCCGAAAACGTCAAGCTAAAAATGTGAAAATATGATGGCACATAATCCTAGTACAAAATGAATCATCACTTTCAGCAACATAATATACTTAGTGTTCAATTTGATATCATTTGTGCGTAAGGTATTATTTGTATCAGTATACCAAAGTTGTGCATTCATAAAATTATTAAGCATCTATTTTAAACTACAACTTGTTTTGTTAACTAAAAAAGTGTTGCTTATTTACATCTAACAGCTTCTGCTTGGCATCTTGTGCGTGCGTGTCTGTAGCTAAATATCCGGCATCAGAAAGAACATGTTGAAATACTATGAAGTATGGATGCAGGTCTATATCCTCTACCTCTAAAGTTGGCGAATGCCTCAAAATTCTACCAATTTCTCTTGCCTGGTAAAGGAAAAACATTTTTTAAAAAATCAACAATAATTCTGATTAACAAAATTCGATTCGATTAACAAAAAAGAAGTAATAAGCTCGGTTATCTTTGGATGATAATACATGGTTAGCTTACTCATCTCTCTTATGATATTGGATATATATGAAACTGTAAAGATAGTATAGGGGCATCCGCGACCGAGTGGTTCCGACTGGGACTTTGGATTCTTTCATGCAAGGACTACTCAATTGCACAGTCCTATCTGCCATAATACAAGGAAGGGCGCCTGAGGTGTTCCATTTCTAGTAAATCTGTCAAGTCACCATATGAGTAATTATGACCTATACTGGTTGGAACAAAAACCGATAGAGTTGATACAGAACTTGTCAGAATTGTATACCTACAAGCAATCTGATTGACATTTTGTCAAGTTTATCACATAGCGGTAGTCTTATGACTACTTCTTTCAACAACTGTATTAAAAATTTGTTTACCTGCTCAAAAATGTTGTTCTTGTTGCCTAGGTTTTCATGTACTTTCAACTGAAAGTTTTTGTTGTTAATGATAACACTTATGATGCCATTAAAGTCTGTTTCTTCTGCACAAGCTACATCTTTATATCCATCAGGGGGCATGAAACATTTAGCTATTCCCCAGGAATTGCTGCACCACTGGGTAGCATCAGTGTTTTTGAACGACGGACCATAGTACCTATGTACATTCTGTATCTTAGTTGTGAAATTATGGCATATCTTGTTAGGGCAGCCGGCAGGATTATACCTTGTTGCAGCATTTCGATGATAACTGCATTTTCCACGACCAACATTACATATTCTATTTGTGGGACATTTAATAACATTTTCTGTACCGCAATTTGAACACAAAGTTCCACTTATCAATCCATTGTTGTAACAAATACCATCTAAACATTCCAGCCGGAATTTTTGAACTTCGTGACATACAAAAGGTTCTAGTCCATCTTTAGTAAATAACACTGCTAACTGAGCCTTAACCCAATTGTTATATTTCCTCTCTGAAAGTTTTGGGCTATATGAAGCCATTGTTAACTTCGTCTTATTGAGATAACATTATCCCATTGTTGAATGTCAATCTTAATCTGGAAAAAAACAATAGCTGGCGTTCATGTGTTATCTACAAATTAACCTTTGAAATGATGTTTATTATCTTAAAAGAGATGTTCACGTTTTATTTAAAAATAGTTTAAAGTAACTACATTACGAGTAAGAAGTTAAAACTCATAACCACATTGATCATTTGATCTTGACGGTCCAGATTATTTTAAATTCATTGTCTTATTAGAATTATTCATGATGAATCAAATATGGCGTTAATCTAATCCGTAAATGATAAACCAGGTTATGACATTATTTAAACTATACTATAAATAATTTGACATTAACAGTCAGGATATAATTAAAAGATCAAGTCATATTTTTTTTTTTTTATTATGTTTTTTTTTAGTTAAAAAAAAGTTTTTTTGTTTGTTAGGGTATAAAAAAAAAATTCGGGGGGTTTAAATTAATAATTAAGTTTACCCCCCAAATTTTCCAAAAAATTTAAAAAATACCCCCTTTGGAAAAAAAAGGGGTCAAGGTTTTTTAAGAGTTTAAAAACATTTTTAAATTAATAAATGATTCTGATTTTTAAAAAACTTTATTTTTTTTGGGCCCAGCATATTTTTTAAATTAATTAAGTTAAATTAAAAAATTTGCCCTTTGCTTCCCAAAGGAAATTAAATGGTTGAGGTTTTTAAATTTAAAAACTTTCATCATTTTAAATTGTTTTTTGACCAAAAATTTGAAAATAAAAATTTTCTGTAAAAAATTATTGAATAAAAAAAAAAATTGAAATTTTTAAGAAAAAAACACGAGCATTTGACTTTGATGATTAACGTTAAACAAAAAATCAAGGTCATTCTTTAAAAAAGAAGAGCCACCATCGGCGGGGGCAACGCATGGCCATTTTACTTTTTCAAAATGCAAACAAAAAACTGTTGCAATAAATTTTTAAAAAGAAAAAACAAGGAAAAAATTGTTGTGTTTTTCCTCATAATTTTATTAGGTCTGTCACATTTGTTGTGTTGTCCGAATACGAACCCTTTCCATAAATAAAATACAATCAAAATCCAAGCATAAGACGGTCAATTTTATTTAAAGGTCACGAACTTTTTGTTATAAGGAAAATAAATAACCCTTCCCGGCCAGTTTGTACCCAGTGCGTTTATTTAAAAAAAACTTTGTAGACACACATTTGAAGATGTTTCATGCTTAATATCTAATCTCTAGCTCTTTGGGTTTTTTTAAAAGAAGACTTTTTCTTGTTTTTACTATATACATACAAGGAAAATCAATGATCCCCCCTGGGGCGGGGCCAATTTTTAAAAGAAGGTTTTTTAACTTATTTAATATATATGATAAGGATAACTGATGACCCCCGGGCGGGGTCAATTTTGACCCCATGGCTTTATTGATAAATCGCTATAGACACTCACTTTGACATGTTTCATGCCAACTATCTAAGCTATAGCTGTTTGTTTTTTTTAATTAAATGTTTTCTGAGTTCTGCATGGAATTAAATTGTTTGAATAATTTTTAAAGGTGACCACCCAAGAAAAATTGTCTGTGAAGTTTCGATTGGCTCAGCGGGTTATGAGAAGATATTGTTTAAAGTAAAAGTTTACGAGACGGACGACGGACACTGGACGAAAAAGCGATCACAAAAGCTTGTCTTGTCATTTTGTGACAGATGACAGCTAAAACAAGAAAATTTCATTTATTTTACCTTGAAAGTCAGGGTCAATTTTATATAAAGATCATCAATATGTTTGTTTGGAGGCAAGCCTTGTTTTGTCCAAGTTTAAATCAAATCGGTAAATAAATAAAAAAAATTATGAAAAATTTAAAAAAATTTTAAATAATTTTACCTTAAACAGTAATTCTTTTAAAAGCTAAAGGGCAATGTTGTTCAACCCAAGAGGGCCCCTATTTTGTTTATCTGAAAAAAAGGGTTTAAAAAGGTAAAAATGTTTTTTTGGTAAAAAGTATAAAAATTTAATCCTTTTATTAAAAACCCAAGAAAAACGTCAACTATAACTAAAATCAGTGGAAAATTCAATACTTTTACCTTCAATGTCAAGGTCATAAAGGGGCCAAGGTAAATTTGGGGTTAGATAACAAAAAAAGGCTTTTACCCTTTTTAAAAATGTTATGTGTTTAATACAAAATAAAGGGCCATTTAAAAATAACAAATTTATAGCCAGTTAAAAGAAAAAAATTAAAAAATTTTCTAATTTGACCAATCAATGTCAAAGGGTTTATTTATAAATTTTAAAGGTTTATGGCTCTTTGTTTAAAATTTTAAGGTCTATCCTGAGAAATATTATGTTTTAAAAAATCCCTGATCAGGAAAAAAAAAAGTTTTTTAAAACGGCAAATGCAAAAGGGCAACCAAACCCCCTTTACTTTTTAACCCAAAACCCTTTTTTTTGCTCACCAAAGGAAACACAATTAGTATTAAAATGGGATTTCCCCCGGCCCTCCCCTCGTCATCCGTCAAAAAATTGTCTTCCTCTCTGAAACTGCGGGGCAGATTTCTTCAAATTTGGTCTGTAGCATCCTTGTGACAGTCACAGTTGAATTGCTCATGTCATTTCAAGTGGCCCATTTTAGGGGTAAAGAGAGCTAAAAATAGAAAAGCCTTTAAACATCTTCTACTACAGAACTAATTGATGGATGATCACCAAACTTTGTCTGTAGCATTCTTGGGTAGTTTTTTTTTATCAAGTTTGCCCATATTAATTTGATTGGCCCCTTTTAGGGGTCTTTAGAACTAAAAATAGAAAAACCTTTAAACATCTGCTTCTAAAGAACTAATGGATGGATGATCACCAAACACATTGGTGTTGCCTTTGATAAGTGTACGAAACCAATCATGTCGGCTGTGCTCAGAAATCATTATTTTGTATGGATAGTTCTAACTTGAAAATTCCAACTTTTGCAATAATTTTGAAAAATCATTGCCTAATTATTGTAGCTTTTCCGGCAAATGTGCAAATATTCGAATTGTCAATATCATTCCTTTACAAACACGAAAACACATAAAGCATATGCATTGCTTATAACATTAATAAATTGTAATATATACAATGTTTGGAGGTCAGAAGGATTTTTCAGCAGAAAGGATTATTATGTTCAATATTCAATATTTTGTGCTTGCACGTTTAAGTTTCAAATAAGATTTTCATCAATACATATATAAGAGTTTGTGTGTATCTGTATTAATATACAATACACGCTATCAAAAGTAACACTTATGCAATTAACAATTTAACTACAAAACTATTTTCATAATTTTATTTAGACATAATTCCTTAAATTCAAACAAACGAAAGGGCTTTATGTGAATGTTATGTACATCACAACGTCAGTAAGTTAAATCCAAGAAAGTAAGTGGTTGGTTATTTAAACGTTTTAGACAATGCATTTATGCAAGTTTCATTGTTCCGATGGAAATGCGTCTATAATTTCAACATGACTTTACCACAGACAAAATGCTAGTACATGATGATACAAGTAAAATAGTTTTTGCTTTTAATAAATCATTGCTTTTAAAAGCAAAAAAAAAGTTTTCAATAATAGAATATTAATCGAACGTAATCTAAATGCGATTCATGAGAACATTAAATGACAGGCTTGTAATCGGTTAAATTACGTTTATATTTAATCAAAACTGACCTTGATAACTGATTTTTTGGTAAAATGATATTGATAACAATTGATAACGGTTTCTGATAACTATTACATCATTCCTAAACCTAACCGAGATCGGTCCAGAGCAAATGATTTAAATGAATACCATAAACATTATTTCACACAATTCCGTCGTTCAAATCTTTCATATAAGTGAATTTCATTTGCCGGAATGATGCCTAAAGTTAATCTGTATCAAAACAAATAACACATGATAGCTAATTTGTGCCATACGTGTTTTTGCCCTCGACCCCGCTAAAAGCGAGAAGTCGAGGATTAACAAGTTAGAATGGCGGGAGCGAGCACTCGCTAATAAGCGGGTGCGCGGGGCGAAGCGATATTTAAGAAATAAAAGGACGGGGCACGGAGCAAAAAAAACCCAATTTTGCGGAGGCGCAAAGGGGTAAATTTTTGGGGTTTTCGTTTCCCCGCCCCAGTCAAAAATCCTTTTCGCCCCCGTTTTGGGGAACTTTAATTATTAAAAAGCGCCCCCCCCAAAAATTTAAAAAATTTTCGGGTTTGCGCCACCACAATTTTTATTTAAATTTAAAAATTTTCGACTTTTCGCTTTGGGGGGGTTTAAAGGGGGAAACACGTGCCCGATAAGCGGGGGGAAGTTTTAATTTTTTTAAAATTTCCCCCCCCGCGCCTCCCTTTAATTTTGGGGTGGGGTTTTTTTTTGCCCCTTGGGGCCAAGACTTTAAATTAAAACAAATACCTTTAACTGGTTGCAACTAGATCCGTTTGTTGTGGTAAAACAGATGTTCGCTAGTATTTTTGTTATCATGCATTCGATTGCTGCACAATATATCACAAAATTATGTCTATAAAAAGAGACAAAAAAAAGAAAAACATGTATCGGTAATCCGGTGTCGCGTTATAATCACACATGTGTAATATAACCACGGATTATACATGTAACTTCATAAAGCTGAGCTACTCGGAGCATGTTCACTGGTGTGATAAAGGTTGTTTGCATCTGTATCAAGTGAAGATAACAACCGTTAGGTCACAGATATCTTGTGAAAATCTTACTTTTGTGCATATTAAAATTTTGATAATTGTAAACAAATATGTTGATGATTTTAAGACTCATTTTGTGTGGGAGAGTAGCTTTAAAAATTAGATATATCTACTGTGTGTATAAATTAGTAAAAAGATATGTCAACTGTGGATATTAATTTACTAATTTATATACACAGTAAATATACTACCTATTTTTTTAAATTACGTTTTGTCGGCAGATTTTTCATGAATTGATAGTGTTTGTTATCGATAAAGTTTATAAAAATCACTGCGGGTAGACGGTCACAAAGGGTAGTCGATAAAAAAACTGTTTTACCATCAAGTGAATTTCAAACATTCCGTTATTGGTCTCGAACTCGTAGAGTTTTCCAATTACACCAACGCGGAAACAACAAAAATAGTAACTCTGTAAGATTAATATCAACTTTGCTAGTCCATTTTATTGTTTACATAAATACATTCTGATTTTATAATCTAACTCTGCCTTTTTTACAATGGACACTTCTATTCGCGGTGACACAAAAATGTTACCGTAAATGATCGCCATGTGATCACCGGTCTTGTTCCATCATTAATTAACAAAATATACCTTAATTACCTGTCTTTAATAAACGTGTTTATATGAAGACATACATGATGTATATGAGACCCTGTATCTACACAGAAGATAACGCCTTGTCGTATAACGATTTCACAGCTCTACGTGTACTCGTCCAATATAATTCAGTACTGTTAATATGTACATACCAATTGTGGATCAGGTCCAGTTATATACTAGCAACAATTCACATCGACTCAATCATCTGGCTCTACAGTGCTCATTACTGAAAATGGTTAAATAACACGTGATGGTTAAACATAGTACCAATTGGAGATCTATTCGATTGAACTATAGATGTCTCTAAATCAGTGAATATAAATTGTAATATACGCGAATTTTTGATAACTTTAAATTAATTTGTAGACTGCTTTGTATATTTCACTGAACTCTCCAAATAATAAAAGACCTCTTAAAATATTTAAATATGTGCAGACTAAGCATTGTTTAACATTGATTTTCAAAATAATTATCTGAAATTTTTCACCACGCTCAAATGGCATTAGAGAGCTCTTTCAAGGAATCTATTAATTATTTTGTAGCGCGCCCTATAAAACAATTACAAAGGTCGTCAAATTAAAGACCTCTTCAATTTAAATAAAGATTTCTTAACAAACAGCTGAAATATACCAAAATTTTGATATCTTAATATTAAATTGTAGGGGTGTTATATTCATGTATTGTGTGATTTAAATCAATTTTTGATCAATATGAATTAGAGGGATATTATTTAAAGACCTCTCTATTGCATTTTTTTTCGCGCTTTTAATATTTTGAGATACATCGTATTGAAAATGCGACCTCTTATATCTGAATTTAAAGACCTTTCAAATATTTGAATATATGTGGATACTGCGTTCCATACATACTCACAAAATGCTCATGCAGTAATCGGTTAATGTTGCATTTAAAACTTAAAGCAGAACTTTTCTTAGTTGAAAAAGTTCATAAACGTATATTATAAAATAGTGTTATCTGATTGGTTGATTTTCTCATGCACACGTCTTAATTGTCTCGTTCGCACCACATAGTAAGTCAAGGCAAAGACACAGTACTTTGTGCGCACCACTTGATTATCTCGTGCGCTCGAATAATGTAACTCGTGGCCACGACATAGTACCTCGTGCGCACGACTGAAAAACTCCTGGCCACGACATAGTACCTCGTGCTCACCAATGAATTATCTCGTGCCCACAATTTAATTATGTCATTCCAACGACTTAGTATCTCCTGGCCAAGACATAGTACCTCGTGTGCACGACTGAAAAACTCGTGGCTACGACATAGTATCTCGTGCCCACCACTTATCTAAACCCACGACTTAGTATATCCTGGCCACGACATAGTACCTGGTGCTCTCGACTGAAAGCCCCTGGCCACGAGATAGTACCTCGTGCGCACGACCTGGAAACTCGTGGCCACGACATCGTATCTCGTGCCAACCACTTAATTATCTCATTCCAACGACTTATTAATTCCTGGCCACGATATAGTACCTCGTGCACACGACGTAGTAAAGCGTGGCCACAACATAGTATAAAAAACTATCTCGTCCGCATCACTTAATTATCTCGTGCGCACGACTAAGTAACTCGGGCCACAGCACAGTATCTCGTTCGCACGAGATAGATAAACACACACACATACACATGTCATAGCTGTGCCACCGTAGTTAACCCTTTAGCGGTTGAGTGTCCGCCTTGTTATCGATAGTCCGGGGATCAAATCCCGCTCAGTGCCCGAGTATATTCAGGTTTACGATTATAGTGTATTATAAACAGCAAAAGTGATTTTTTTTAATTTATCTTACATTACAAGGCAAAATATAGAAACTAAAGAAAACTTTAAATCAAACTTATCAAACGAACCTTTCATTTCATCCATTATTCTAGCTCTTTTTTGTTCAATTATATGTACGCATTTTTGTCCTCTTGTTATCATTAAATCATGTGATTGCCAGCCTGTAATACCCGTATTATCATTTATCTGATTTAACACAAACAAACAGATAAAACCAAACACATTTAGGAGTTCAGTCAAGTTTATGTGTACATGTATATATATGTAAGGATAGCGAAATCTATTTATATTCAAATATTTAAATATATATCTCAAATATTAAAAGCGCGCGAAAATATAATAGAGTATTTAGTCATTTATGTACACAGTTGATATATCTATTTACATATTTATACACCCAGAATATATATCTATCTTTAAGCTACTTTCCCGCAAAGTAATGAGTCTAAAATCATCAACTTATTTGTTTACAATTATGAAATATGCATATAAGTAAAATTTGCAGTTTTCTCGAGATAAATGTGACCAAACGGTTTTTTATGTTTCATTTGGCACATGTTTCGAGTAGCAAGGTAGAACTTGATACATTAATGTCAGGATTAAACCGGATAACCGATATATGATCTTTTTCTTTGCCTTTTTATAGTCATAATTTTCTGTGTTATATTTTGCACCAATCGAATGCAGGATACTAAAAAATAACAAACGCACAACTGATCTACCCGCAACCAACGGATCTAGCTGAAACCAGTTAACGGGTGTGTATATAAGTGAAGTGAATGTTTACAAAATAAAACGTTGCAACAGTTTAAGTAATACAGCATCATTAACATAGCTATACTTATTTTGTGTATAGTTCTTATATGTGAACTATAACCGGCTTACAGTTCACTCCGTCCCTGTTTTGTCAACCCGTTTCATGTAATTTACACCATGCTGTTAAAAGGACCCTGTAAGCATACACCATGCTGTTTATAGGACCCTTTAAACTTACACCATGCTGTTTATAGGACCCTGTAAACTTACACCATGCTGTTTATAGAACCCTGTAAACTTACACCATGCTGTTAATAGGACCCTGTAAACTTACATCATGCTGTTAATAGGGCCCTGTAAACTTACACCATGCTGTTAATAGGACCCTGTAAACTTACATCATGCTGTTAATTAGGGCCCTGTAAGCATACACCATGCTGTTTTATAGGACCCTGTAAACTTACATCAATGCTGTATTTATAGAACCCTGTAAACTTACACCATGCTGTTAATAGGACCTGTAAACTTACATCATGCTGTTAATAGGACCCTGTAAACTTGCACCATGCTGTTAATAGGGCCCTGTAAACTTACACCATGCTGTTAATAGGGCCCTGTAAACTTACACCATGTTGTTAATAGGACCCTGCAAACTTACACCTGCTGTTAATAAGGCCCTGTAAGCTTACACCATGTTGTTAATAGGACCCTGTAAACTTACAACATGCTGTTAATAGGGCCCTGTAAACATACACCATGCTGTTTATAGGACCCTGTAAACTTACACCATGCTGTTTATAGGACCCTGTAAGCATACACCATGCTGTTTATAGGACCCTGTAAACTTACATCATGCTGTTAATAGGACCCTGTAACCTTACACCATGCTGTTAATAGGGCCCTGTAAACTTACATCATGCTGTTAATAGGGCCCTGTAAACTTACACCATGCTGTTAAAAGGGCCCTGTAAACTTACACCATGTTGTTAATAGGACCATGTAACCTTACCCCATGCTGTTAATAGGACCTATAAAATTACACCATGTTGTTAATAGGACCCTGCAAACTTACACCATGCTGTTAATAGGGCCCTGTAAACTTACACCATGTTGTTAATAGGACCCTGCAAACTTACACCATGCTGTTAATATGGCCCTGTAAACTTACATCATGCTGTTAATAGTGCCCTGTACACCATGCTGTTAATAGGGCCCTGTAAACTTACACCATGTTGTTAATAGGGCCATGTAAACTTACACCATGCTGTTAATAGGCCCTGTAAACTTACATCATGCTGTTAATAGGGCCCTGTACACCATGCTGTTAATAGGGCCCTGTAACCTTACACCATGTTGTTAATAGGGCCATGTAAACTTACACCATGCTGTTAATAGGGCTCTGTAAACTTACACAATGTTGTTAATAGCACCCTGCAAACTTACACTATGCTGTTAATAGGGCCCTCTAAACTATCACCATGTTGTTAATAGGACCCTGCAAACTTACACAATGCTATTAATAGGGCCCTGTAAGCTTACACCATGTTGTTAATAGGACCCTGTAAACTTACATCATGCTGTTAATAGGGCCCTGTAAACATACACCATGCTGTTTATAGGACCCTGTAAACTTACACCATGCTGTTTATAGGACCCTAAAATCTTACACCATGTTGTTAGTAGGACCCTGCAAACTTACACCATGCTGTTAATAGGGCCCTGTAAACTTACATCATGCTGTTAATAGGCCCTGTAAACTTACACCGTGCTGTTAATAGGGACCCTGTAAACTTACACCATGCTGTTAAATAGGGCCCTTGTAAACTTACACCATGTTGTTAATAGGACCCTGTAAACTTACACCATGTTGTGTTAATAGGACCCTGCAAACTTACATCATGCTGTTAATAGGGCCCTGTAAACTTACACCATGTTGCTGTTAATAGGGCCCTGTAAACTTACACCATGTTGTTAATAGGACACTGTAAACTTACATCATGCTGTTAATAGGACCCTGTAAACTTACACCATGCTGTTAATAGGGCCCTGTAAACTTACACCATGTTGTTAATAGGACCCTGCAAACTTACACCATGCTGTCAATAGGGCCCTCTAAACTATCACCATGTTGTTAATAGGACCCTGCAAACTTACACCATGCTATTAATAGGGCCCTGTAAAGCTTACACCATGTTGTTAAATAGGACCCTGTAAACTTACATCATGCTGTTAATAGGGCCCTGTAAACTTACATCATGCTGTTAATAGTGCCCTGTAAACTTACACCATGCTGTAAATAGGGCCCTGTAAACTTACATCATGCTGTTAATAGGGCCCTGTAAACTTACACCCATGTTGTTAATAGGACCCTGTAAACTTAGATTCATGCTGTTAATAGGGCCCTGTAAACTTACATCATGCTGTTAATAGGCCCTGTAAACTTACACCATGCTGTTAATAGGGCCCTGTAAACTTACACCATGTTGTTAATAGGACCCTGCAAACTTACACCATGCTTGTCAATAGGGCCCTGTAAACTATACACCATGTTTGTTAATAGGACTCTGCTGTAAACTTACACATCATGCTGTTAATAGGGCCCTGTAAGCTTACACACCATGTTGTTAATAGGACCCTGTAAACTTACATCATGCTGTTAATAGGGCCCTGTA